CAGCGCATTTAGTGCTAGGATGTCTGGAGTTGTTACCCGGAGTAATACCAGGTCCACCTGCAAGTATCCAGGCTGCAGAGCTGCACCTGACCCACATCCATGTAGCCAAGTCCACATTGGCACTGCAGCAGCACATTTAGTGCTAGGATTTCTGGAGATGTATCCCAGAGTAAATGAGTTCACATCTATCCTGGAGAGATGGCTTCAAGTGATGAGGATAGCTTAGTCTTCGTGGCTTATTTAATCTTTTCTCTTTTGGCTGAAACAGCAGTTGATCCTGATATTTTTGGTGGTTCAGCAATAGATATTTTCCCTGGGGAAAAATATGGCTAGTTATCTTAGTGCTCTGACATATACATACACTTCTGGGGCTAGATACTGGCTTCCTGAGAGTTTATTTTTAAAAGCTTTACAGCGTAAGATACATCTTCTGCTTTGAAGAACTCACAAACTACATGGCACTGATTGGCATTAAATAGCATGATGCTAGTTTACTCACTTGGATTTTTCACTGTGAAGTCTCATTTTCCCTTTTCACCTAAGTGATACTTCAGGAATAAACTAACAAATACTTACTATCTCTTCTGATCTGTTCCCTCTGGGTCAGTGGCATCACACACAGGGCTGAGTTAGTGGAATGTTAAAAGCACTCTCTGCTCTACAGATCCAGTCTCCAAGGTCCTGTCAATCAGATGGAGTCAATAAGGAAGCCCTACAGTGTGAAGTTGAAGAACTGAAACAGGAGGATCTTGCTCTGGATCAGGAAATTGCACAGTTGTTGGCTGAGTATGTTCTTGGATAGCTTGATGTTCAGCATGAGGCTTGGGGTTTTTTCTGTTTGTTTTTTAAAACGAAACAAACCCCAAGTATCAGAGTTGGAAACTGCCACCTCCTGTTGGTGGTGCTGATATTGCACTATGACCAAAATCTGTTTAGCTAGGAATAGTGTTAATTTCAGCATTGTTTGAATTACAGGGCACTTCAGCTACAAAACTGAACCAAGTACCTTGTCTCTTTGTTTTTTTGCAAAGCAAGGCTGGATTTAATCAGTACTTGGATTTAAGGAAAACCTGGAGGTTGCAGGGAGTAGTAATTGTGATTCAGTAGGCGGTGCTGTACCACCTACTGCTAAAGGGCACAAGATTACTTCTTCCTATTAATACCTAACTCTGAGAACTACTTTTAGCTTTATTTTGTTGTGGGGAGAAGGATTGATCTGGAACAGCCCTCGGAATGGAGACTGTGCTCCCCCATTCATCCTTCCTGCCGATGTTTTTTAAAGACTGAGCTCTTACCTTCAGAGTCGTGTTAGCAAGTTGTGTGGTTTTGGCAGGTTTTGCTATCTCTCACAAGTATCTTGTCTCTGCTAAACAAATGTGGTAAAGTAGCAGTACTTTCTCTGTGTCATTGTCGCCTTTCTGGGTTTGCTGTTACAGAGGTTACAGCCTGGAGGAACTGGAGAAACACATCTCTTTGCTCCATGAGTACAATGATATTAAAGACGCTGGACAGATGCTGCTGGGCAAGCTGGGTAAGAAAGGCAGGGCTAACATGCAACTTTTCTCAGTAAATGTTTCCATGTGTTTCATTACAGAAGCGGGAAAGCTACGGTCCTAGGGCTTATCTTAATAATTCTTTAGTTGTAGGATTCTGTAGTTAAAATCCCATATTCAAGCACAGATACCTCTGTCATGAGCCCATTGGGATTTTCTCAACAGCATGGCAGAACCACAGAGGGCTATTCGGTGTCTCTTCCTGATCCTCTGAATGGGATGTGAAATTGTCACTTGATGACTGCTAGTGTTTTTCTGTGGATTATCAAAGATGAGCCGCCTGTAATTGATAGATAATCCTGAGAGCGTTATGTATTCTGCACTGCACAAGACTTAGAAAACAATCCTGCAGTTAGGAGTGGAGTGGGGAGGGTGTATAAGGTAAGAGACTTTTGGACTCATGCTTTAGCTAATGGAAAGCTTTAGGACAACTAGGCCTGGGGAGAGTCAAGTCTTTTCTACTGCCTAAACTCAAGTCATAGAAACCATGCAGCTAGCCAAAACTCTTGCTCACTAATCTGCTTCTCTATCTGTAATGGAAGCTGTGGTATTGATTCCTTTCTAGCAACGATTAGAGGGGTCACCACAAAGGAGCTGTACCCCAAATTTGATCTGGAACTTACTGACTAGCATTGAAACTGAAGACTACAATCTCCTGCAGAGATCACCATTACTGGGGTACTGCGTGTTGGTACCGTACACCTTGAGAACTCAGAAGGACAGTAAAGATGCAGAGACTTTCAAGGAAGTGTTACTTGACCGCTTCATTTCAAAGACTAACTTCTAGAATGGAAAAGCTATTGAATCCATCCCATGTTCCCGGTTTCAGGAAAAGTGGCATTTTGCTCTTTGGCAATGAGAGGAGTTTCAGTTGAAGTGTTAGGCTCCTCTTACTGTTCATTATTTAAAAAAAAAGGTTATAATTCAGAATTAATAGTTAACCCCTTCACTGTTGCACATGTGATTGGAGTTCTTTGACATGTTGATGGTCTATGGGCTTCTTTAAGGAAGTCTTACATGGGGAAGCAATTGTTAGGTATCAGTAAATGGATGGAGGAAGCAGCAGTGGAGAGAGAATATGCAGAGCTGTGTTGTTTGTTAAAAACCTCAGAAGTGGGAAAGGAAATCGGCTAAGAGCAAGGTGTTTATATGCCTCGTGCTGAAAAAGCTGTGGGTGCTCAATATGTTAGGGCCCCACTGAATTGAGTTCTGGAAGCTGGTTGTTGCATATGTATAATAGTAAATAAATGGAAAAGCATTAACTTGTGCTGCTGAATTGTCCAGTCTGAATAAATGATTAACTCTTATGTTCCCTAGCAATTCACTCTGATAGCCCATAGCAGGGGGTGGCCAAACTTAATGACCCTGCGAGCCGCATATGATAATCTTCAGAAGTTCGAGAGCCAGGCATACCTGCCAGGGCTCAGGGCTTCTGCCCGGGGAATACACCTGCTGGGGCTTGGGGCCTCAGCCCCGCACCTGCTGAAGCTCTGAGCCCCAGTGGACACCTCCTGCAGGGCTGGAGCCCTGAGACACCCCCACCCCCCCCCAACCCCCCGTGCAGGGCAGAATCCACCAGCCCCACCACCCTGCCACAGGGCAGAAGCCCTGAGCTCTCCCCTCCCCAGTGTGGTAGGTGGAGAATGGGGGGGAGGGTACCCTGCAAGCCTCACTTTAACTGCAAAAGAGCCGCATGCGGCTGAGCCACAGCTTGGCCACCCCGGCCTATAGAGATGCTAAGAAAAACAGAACTGTACTCTCCTTAGACTACTATTTTCTGTGTGCCACTGTAACTCCAGATCAGAACACCTCTTCAGGCACTTCTCAAAGACCCTCAGTAGGGTCAGTGAGGCACCATTGCTGATGGCTGCATATCAGACTGGACACATCGTTACCTCTCCCTCGTTTCCAGATGCAGTCTCAATTAAAGAGATCAGTAATATAATGAAGGGCTTCCTCAAACAATTTTCCTGTATTCAACATAGGTCACAGAAGACAAAACATACCTCACTCCCCAAATTATAGATAAAGTGCTGACATCCTAAAGGGAGGAGGGTTCTGGCTGTAGAATTAAGGTAATGGTTCCCATGCAGTTCCTGGCTTTCCCCAGTAGCATTTTAGGGATTGAAACTTGTATTCATTATAATAGGGCACTGTTGTGCACCCACAACCTTAACTCCACATTAGTGAAACTGTAGTACTTTCTATAAATTTCTCCCTGGGTAGACAACTGTCTGTGTGGGGTGTGCCACTGCTGCACAAGAGGTGGTACAGAGGCTTGTATAGTTGAATACAGCTACTTCTATGAGTGTTCTATACCAAAAGAAAACTAGTGCACATAAGACGCAAGATCTGTCTTTAAAGAGTTAACACACTCCAATGCACTGTAGGTGGGAGTACAATCTTTAGCCACAAGGTGGCAGGAGTGCTCCATTACTGCTTTACCTTTCAGTGGTTCCCAAACTTGTTCCGCTGCTTGTGCAGGGAAAGCCCCTGGCGGGCTGAGGGACATTCTGGCCGCCGCTTCCAGCAGCTCCCATTGGCCTGGAGCAGCGAACCGCAGCCACTGGGAGCCGCGATCGGCCAAACCTGCGGACGTGGCAGGTAAACAAACTGGCCCAGTCCGCCAGGGGCTTTCCCTGCACAAGCGGTGGAACAAGTTTGGGAACCACTGCCCATTGTGCAGAGGAACTTGGAGGCAGCTGAAAAAAATCCATGAATTAAGTTCAAGTGATAGAGGGTTTTTTTGTGTTGGTTTTGTAAACCCTCAAGGATAAGAGATGAGACAGTCACTATTGTATATACAGGGAAAGCCAGGAAAATTAATTCAAACTAACTAAAAGGTGTGAATGTAAAGTGGATTAGTTAAACTGCATTAAATTGTGTGGAAAATATTCAGAATTAAATCCACACTTTTAGTAAATTTGGATGAATGTTCTGAGGGCTTGTCTACACTTAAAATGCTACAGCAGCACAACTGCACCACTGTAGTGCTTCACTGTAGACATTACCTACACTGACAGGAAGGATTCTCCCCTCGGTGTAGGTAATCCACCTCCCTGAGAAGCGGTAGCTAGGCCAACAGAATTCTTCTATCAATCTAGTGCTGTCTATGTGGGGACTTAGGTCAATTTAACAATGCCACTCAGGGGTGTGGATTTTTCACATGCTGACTGCTGTAGTTAAACCTACTTAAATTTTCTAGTGTAGAGCAGGCCTGAGTGCCCTGTGTAAACAAGTCCTTAAATCCTTCCTCCTCTGCCATGATTGCAATTGCTGATATCGCAGAGTTACTGCTCACCTTTTAACAGCTGTCCAGGTACATTTTCAAAGGAGAAACTGTGCCTCCATGTGCCTCTTTGTACAAGTCTGGAAGAGGTAGAATCTCTCTTGATAGTAGAAATTCTGTAGTGGTGGGGGGTTTGCATACTCTGTTGCATCTACAGGCTGAGCTCATTACACGAATTAGAGGCTCCTTCCATCTCTCCATTCTCTCCCACAAGCACTGTGTGTGCTGCCCTCCCATCCCCTACTATTTCAGGGATTCTCTGCAACCCCTTTCATGCCCTCCCCCCCCCCGATGCCGGGGTTCCCCATTGTGACTCCTTTTCCCGCTCCGTTATATCTCTTCTATCTGGGAGATAAGCCATTCAGGGTGTCATGATGGATGGCAGGTGTCTCAGTCTGTCTCTCATTTTTCCTTCCGATTTTCTAATTTTTCCCCCAAATCAATAGGGTTCTGCCAACTGATGCCTAGAACGTTCCCGGAAATTTTGCAATTGGTCAGATGTAGTGTTCTAAAGGTATCACAGTAAATCCAAACAAAAACGCCCGCCAGTTGAGTGTAAGGCCTAGCAAGATCAGCCAATAAAATACACGTGTCTGCAAGATATTTCTAACTATCACTATAGTAATAACCAATGCACCATCAGTTTTATATTTAAAATATTTTTAGATTCTAAAATGAGGGATGTTACCCCTAATTTTGAGCCCCCACGTGTGATGAGAGTTCTCACTGCAAAACATAACCTAGATATTAATGATTGGCACTCCATCAAAATCTTAGATTGCAATCCTTTAGTACATCTTAGCATCACACTTTGAGCCCTACATATTTTAGAAATACATTAGCTGATTGCTAATGTACCTCATGGTTTATGTAAAAAAATCATTTGTAGCTTTAAATGAGCACTAATGGAATCTCAGTGAATTCTAAAGCTGTACTCCCTTGCTGTTTCTCTTTAAAGATAACATACAATTTTGCTGAAGGGCAGGAAAAAATACATGATGGAGGACTATAGATGCATGCAAACAAAATGCAGGGGCTTTTGGCCCTGTTGACTTAAATTGAGTATCGAATAACAGCATCTTTCCCCATAAAATATATTACCTTAATTAATGGAGATATCCCATCTCCTAGAACTGGAAGGGACCTTGAAAGGTCATCAAGTCCAGCCCCCTGCCTTCACTAGCAGGACCAAGTACTGATTTTGCCCCAGGTCCCTAAGTGGCCCCCTCCAGGATTGAACTCACAACCCTGGGTTTAGCAGGCCAATGCTCAAACCACTGAGCTATCCCTCCCCCACCTTGGCTTTTAATTCACCCCATTCCAACTTCTTGTTTTTACATCCTACTCCAGTCCTCTCTAATAAGCCTGCCTCTCCCTCCTCCTGCTTCAACTGGCTCTCTGACTAATCTACTCCAGATATTAGTTACCCTGCATGAGAAATAGTATTACTTCGCCACTTTAGTCTTAGTTGCTTACATTGTAGTTTTCCCTAGGCAGAACCCTTTCTTGGTTTGAACAATTAATCTTTACCCCTTTAATGTATTTGAAAATGGGGCTGATCTATAGAAAGTGTCATAATAAAAAAAAAATTATGAAATTGGGAAAAGAACCACTTAGGTCATACTCTGTCACAAGGCGCATAAAGAGAATAGAAGAAGTAAAGCCTGCAACCCATTGGTCGTATTCCCATCTCTAAACTAATTTAAGGGCCCTCTTACATCCCTCCCCAACCTGATGTTCCCACTGAAGTCAGTAGCAGTTTTGGCTTTGCAAGGAAATGTACACTCATCTCAGATATCAACAGTTTTGCTGCAGCGTTGTGCAATACTTACAAAAATTATTCTGCCTGTCAATGGAGAAATGCCTTGCATGAATGAAAACACAAGCAACCCTTACAAAATCAAGGACCACCCCAAGGAACGGCTAGTTGTGGATTGCAACCACCATTTTCCCTTCCTATTACCCTCCACCTTTCAGTCAGCATGTGGTTATCTCATTTTGAGTCAGATCGCTTGCAGATGTTCCCTCTGTACTGTGCAGTTCGCTCTCTGCAACCTGATCCATATCGGTATGGCTTTTACCACTCCTAGCTTGGTGGCTCAAGCTTCTCTGAAGCCCCACTTTCACTTTGATCTTAGAGTCTTTAATTGAATTCCGGATATTCTGCAGGTTCCAATGCGTTCGCGGGAGAGCATTGTCTAGTGTGAAAAAGCCATCCCGTATCCGCCGCACCTGGGTGCACACAGCAGTTGATTTCAGCTCCAAGCCAATCTCGTGAACTATCTTTCGGAGGTACTGCTGGGTCTCATGCAAACACTGGATTTCTGGAGGAGGCAGAAAGACTGCATTAGAAGGGCCAGCGCATATATGCAACAAGACACCGTGCCTGTAAATTCAAACACCAGTTACTGGGATTAAAGTACAAAAAGAAGAGTTAGTTCAACAGGAAAGATGCTGTTTTTTTAAGTACTTGACAGTATAATCATGATTATACAGAGGTCTTGCACAATGTCCCAAGCCTTCAAAAAAGTCAGTTTTATAAAAACAAATTTCAAATACAAGGTCATATAATAAGAGTTAAATATTTGGGCTAGGCAAAGGTCAGTATAGCTATATTTGAGTTTGTCTGAATAATTCATGAGGACCAGGAAGGCTATTAAAGGTGAACCACAAAGCTTTTATAAACAGACTGTTTAGGATCCCAAATTCTTAATATCTGTACAGATTAAATACTTTTAACAATGTTTAATAGATGCTTTGTCTTCAGACTAAAGCCCCAATCCTGTAAATGGCTACGTGCGTGGACCCCTGGGCTTGTGTTGAACTCTATTAACTTTAGTGGGGCTCTACGTGGGCACAAGGATCTGCCTGCATAAAGTCAATTGCAGAATCAAGGTGTACGGAAATAATCCTTGCAATATTCCTGTGAGACAGGTAAGAAAATTATCATCCTCACATTAGCTGTGGGGAAATGAGGCAGCAAGGGTATATAACTTTCACCATACCACAGAAGTCCATATTAGTGCCAGGATTAGAATGCAGGAGGAGTTGTCTTTCAATCCTGAATTTAAATCACAGAGGTGACAAATTAACAGCCATGGAAACTGGACTCCTTTATTCACAGATCACCTGTGGAACTCTTGCATGCAAGAGATCACTGAGGTCAGAAGTTCAGTAGGATTTGAAAAAGGATTTTATGTTCAGTTACATTATCTAGGACAAAAAAAAGTTTAATGGGGATATAAAATCTCAAGTTTCAGGGCATAAACTGACGACTAATTTATTGCTTCCTTAAGTGGGGAGGGTGGCTGCATCAAATGACTAGTCAATGTATACATCTTCCGTATCCCCTAAAATGGGATTAAGAGTAGGCCTTGAACAACACATGACAAGAATAAAGGGGGTGAGATTGGTTTGTTTTCTTAGCTTTCAAAAATTTGGGAGACATTGCACAGAAAGAATTGTGCCCTTTGGGCAAATTATTCCATAGCTATCTGCTAGGGAATTTAACTGTCCTTTGAAGCACTATCAGAGACAGAATACTAGACTAGGTGGACTATCAGTCTGATCCAGTATAGCAGTTATGTTCCTACCAGGCAGAAATTGCACAAACTTCCCCACGCTGCTCAGTCCTAATTTAGAGGGTCCATCCAGCACTGGGATGGTCCTTCAATCTCTATGGCAAATTTAATCATTGGGGTGTTTGCTGAGACTGTCACAGTTACCAGTTTGTACTAGCTGCGGTGGTTTTGTAACAGACACCTGTCCACTAGGAACTGGTTTGAGCTCACAAACTCATTTCACACAGATCACAGAAGAACAGCTAGATAGCAGCAACTTTTTGCCACTATCTTCATACATACTCCCAAACTCTAGCTCTAGTTAGACCATACCTAGCTGGAATTCTGGAGGTGCAAACTGGAGGCATCGAATTGCTGTGATTAATGGAGGGGTTTTTTCCATTGGGCGAATTAAACCTTCAACAGCCAGCTCGTAGGCCTCTTGAGTTTTCAGGTCAATGTTAGAGTACCTGGAGAAAGGAACAGAGCAGTGAATTTGCACTTCCATCCCAATGAATTCATAGATTCTGAGGCAGAAGGGACTGTCATGACAATCTAGTCTGACCTCCTGCATAAAATTTCCCCAAAATAACTCCTAAAGCATATCTTTTAGAAAAAGATCTAATCTTGATTTAACAATAGTCAGTGATGGAGAACCCACCATGACACTTGGTAAATTGTTCCAATAGTTAATTACACTATTAAAAAGGTACCTTATTTACAGTCTCAATTTGTCTAGCTTCAACTTCCAGCCAGTGTTATACTTTTCTCTGCTAGATTGAAGAGCCCCTTATTAAAATATTTGTTCCCCACGTATGTACTTATACACTGTCATCAAATTACCCCTTAACATTCTCTTTGTTAAGCTAAATAGATTGAGCTCCTTGAGTTTATCAATATAATGCAACTTTTCTAATCCTTTAATCATTCTCATGGCTCTTCTCTGAACCCACTCCAATTTTTCAACATCCTTCTTGAAATGTGAACACCAGAATTGGACGCAGTATTCCAGTAGCAGTCACACCAGTGCCAAATACAGCGGTAAAATAACCTCTCTACTCCTACTTTAGAGTCCCCTGTTTATGCATCCAGGGATCACATTAGCCCCATTGGCCACCATGTCGCACTGGGAGCACATGTTCAAAGACCCTCTGTTTTGTTATAAAACAGATGCAACATTCACATTTCAAACTAAAGATTTGTTCAGTCTCTGTAGTTTCTAAGTTAACCTCCCCTGACACAGTTTTTAATCCTATAACTGTGTCTGATGTCCTATAAATGCTATAAACATGGGTACTGTCAATAAGGTACTACAACTGGGAGGGAAGGCACCCTATCATACTCAGCAGAAGAACTTTCATTTTACTAAGGGGTCATGTATAGGCCCTAAAGTAACATGGGAGTTCAGAAGCCAAAGGTAGCCTCATTAGAGCTTGACTCCCACAGACAAAGTGGCTGATTTTCCTCTCTGAGGCTCAAACCTTTATAATTCATTAGGGCAAGCAACAGACTAATCTCATTAGTTCCAATGATCAGCAAATAGCAGCATGGAAGTCAGGTCAGGTCATTCAGGATTTCTGATTGGATACATACATCAGCAGAGCTTTATGATTGGTTCCCTGAATGACAGCAAGAATCCGCTCCAGCTTGTCCCCTGTGATATGATCTGTAAATGTTGAGAAGGCAAAAGAGGAACATAAATCTTCCTTGATACACCCAGCACCTGCAGAGTCTTAGTCTGAAATCAAGATGTTGCCATCTCCTGGCCAAGCTGTCATATCTAAATGGGCTTGTGGGAAGCCCATGAAAGATGGCTTTAGTGTAACAGAATACAGCAGCACAGGAAACTGACCCAGTCTACATGTATACCATGCCAGTACATAGAGCGAAGCAGTCCCTGGGGCAAAGGGAATAGAGCTTGCATTGGTTTCATGACGGAGGCCACAATTCATCTCATGAGATATTTCAAGACTTTGTTTAACATCAGGACCTTTATGAAAGTCTCTGATCACTCTCTTGTGGGTGAGGATAATATGTCTCCTGAGGTACAAGGAGATGGGGTACACCTAACTTTGGGAATAGGTATGATCAGGACTTTATATCAGCGAGCTATATACTGTGGCTGTATTTAGCATACTACAGGCAGGGTAACGTGTCTGACGAAGTGGGCATTCACCCACGAAAGCTCATGCTCCAATACATCTGTTAATCTGTAAGGTGCCACAGGACTCTTTGTTGATGTTTACTGTGGTGAGACTGCATGGGAGAATCCTCATAAACCAAGATTAGAGAGCTCTTAAAGGTGCGCTAAATGTTGCTCAATCTGGACAGGCGTAACACTTTACTTTCTAATTAGAAATCTTCGTTTACACATCGACCATTACTTACCAAATGTGGTCTTCTCTATTAGCCTGCCTGTGTCTGAGAAGTCATCTGTGGCTTTGCCAAACAGTCCACGAACAGTATAAGCCTTCAAAAGGGAAAAGTGCAATTTATGGAGGAAACAGTTTGCAAACAGCAGAGAAGCAATATCCTGCTATGCAGCAACTACAGGGCATCACAGGACAGGAAAGGTTTCTCTAAAGGAAAGCTGCAGTCTCTGCACAGTGAGTGGTGCCTCTTATCTTATATGAACTGATAATGGCTTTGGGAAGCACTGGTGATTTGTTTGACACTCAAATGTAGCATGACAGCCACTCCTGCTGGCAGCTCCCTCAATAATATGGAAGCAGGCATTATGCCTTGTGACAGCAGCACAACCTCCCCAGACCCTTCAGAGGCTCTTGAACCAGTTTCTGATTTGGAATGGTTACAGCTTTCTTAAAGCTCACATGGTCTCATATGAACACGCTTTTATAATTCCCATTTGTTCATGATCTGCAGGCTCAAGCCACTAGAATAATGATTTTATTGCAATGTCGATAAAGATCATCATTAATATTACTTATACGGCTGTGGTGCCTAGAGGCTCCAATCAGGGATCAGAGCCCCATTGTGCTAAACACCGTACAAATGAGTACAACACTCCCTGCCCTAGACATCTCTCAATCTAGGCCTATAACATGGTGCAACAGCTGGATAAACACACACATGGAAATGAGGAAGAGTGCACCCCACACACACCAGGATATAAAGAACATGCTTCAACTTGTACACACGTGCATCTCTCACTCACCACAGTATGTACACATACATCTAAACATATTACTGTATCTGTCTCCCTAGGGTTATTGTCCAGCATGCCATCATTGCTATCAGCAGTTCAGCTTCAGCAGTAGTAGCAATGGTGGGAGCAGTAGTGTAGATGGTTAAAAATGCCAGTGCCTTTTCATGTCATCTGGACCTGCCCTGAATAAGGTTAGGATACAGTGGCAGCCAGTTGGTGCCTCTTTGTGGAAAATGTAGGGAGGAAATCCCAAGAGTCAATGTGTCTCAGTTCTGAGCGGGAGGAATTACCTCTCGCAGGAAGTGGGGGGAGGGTTATTTTCCAGAGCCCATTTTACCTTTGGCTTCTCTGCCAGGACTGCCAACAAACAGGGCAAATGTGATTTGCGTAGTGTGGATAACTCCCTCCCCACTAGAAATAGACTGAGACCCAGTTTGTTTTACAGAAGCCTCCAGATAGCAATGACTTTTACCTGGTCCTGACCAGGCAAGATTCAGACTGATGACCTACAGGTAAAAAGCTCCACATCCCATTACCAATTCCCTGGTCATTTATATTGTTTCCCTCCATTCCCAAAAGAATACTTAATATTGCTTAATCTCAGTGATTTGTGCCTATTCACAGTTGTGTGTGTTATTACTTCTCATATGATTTAGTAAGAGTAGGTCACATTTGCCTCTTCTTTCTTGATGCAATTTCTAACCTGGCCTTGATTTCTAGTGAGAATGGGTGTTACACACAGAAGTCCCCAAACAGGTTCAGTGCCAGAGCATACCCTAGTAAGATGGGCATTGTACATATCAGTGAGCAGCTTGTTCCCATGGCCCACTCCAAGCACTGAAATACAAAAAACAACAGGAGGCCATTAATCAGTCACATAAAAAGTTATTTGGGCATAAGCATTTTTATATAGCACCACACTCTCCCCTGGCACCGTTCAGACACACAAAAAGCAATATCTGTGTACCCAGAATTTATAGTCTAACTGTTTCTGCCTCTCTCTTTGTTGCTGAGAGTTGCCACCACCCACCCAAACCTCTGACTGCCACTAAAGCCACAACTAATAAGAGCTACGTGCTAGTGTTAGCTTGTGCTTTTCATCTGTAGATCCCAAAGCACCCTACAAAAGAAGGGCAGTATCATTATCCCCATTTTACAGATAGGGAAACAGAGACACTTGAGCAGTCAGGTTCACACACGGCAGAGCCAAGAAGAGAATATAAGTCTCCCAATTCAGTTCCTTCCACTGGACCACATTGCCTCTCTGAGAATAATTAGTTATTCTTGTCTCTCTGGCTTATGATTCAGGACCCTCTCAGAACAATCATATCTGATTTGTGTGTTTCTACTGTAATTTACCATTTCTACCTTTGCCTGTGACCTACAAAATTCTCAGATGCTGCTAGTAGCCAGCACAGTGTTTTGTGAGCCTATTGTCTATTAAACCCCCCTCTATCCTATACCTGGTAATTTCACGATGAAGCTATATTCTTCTCTTTCAACACAAAACATACCAAACACTCCAGATGACTTTGTATCCAGACGGTGACCTGCTCCGATTTTCAAGTGAGTGAACTCTGGTCCTTTAACTACAAGGGAAAGAAATATAGTGTATGGTTTGTGGCATACACAAAATTTAATTTCACTATAAAGAAAGAAATATACCAAGCTTTTCTGATCATTCTTTTCATTCCCTTTGGGGCACCTGCCATTGGCCACTGTCAGAGGACAGGATACTGGGCTTGATGGACCTTTGGTCTGACCCAGTATGGCCGTTCTTATGTTCTTAACAACAGTATGATGGTAACAGGCAATATACGTGGTCCCAACGCAATTTAATCTTGCTGATTCCAAGGTGTTAAAAATCTTATGATTTACCGTGCACATAGTGAAGCCATTTCTAATAAATCACTGCCTAAAATGGAATGAAAGTCCTCAATCTCTCCACTGGATTCTCACTCTTCTCTCCACTACAAGCAGGTTGCACTGTGTTTATCCCCTTTGAATGCAGTGATTACCAGCTACCTGATAATCGTTAGCAGCTGCAATCTAAGGGAATTAACACTTCTTATTCCTCTTTTATTCTGGCTGTGTTTTCCCACTGGGCAAGTCAAATCTAGAAATGATAGTAATGGTATACACCAGCTTTTCCACAGAAATCAAGATTCTTCTCCAGCCTCTTACCTAGTGGATGGGCAGCCAGGACAGGCAACTGGGTAACAGTGAGGGTCAGCTCTTTCCCAGCATTTCCTTCGACAGTGGTTGGCAGGAAGCGTACTTGCTGCGGCACAGTTGGCTGTTCCAGAGAGTTCAATTCTACAGGAAATGGTACAGAAAACCTCTGCTGATATTTTTAAAGTGTATTATCTTGCAAATAAGCCCAGTTAAGACCCGCCCCGATGATCTTCCTGGAAAACAATGGGACACAGTCTGAAAAGAAAATACAGTGAAGGGAGTGATAAACATACATAGTTTCTCTTCAAAGCCTGGTCTACACACACAGATTCAGTAACAGTATAACTATTTTGGTTAGGGATGTGTAATTTTTTTTTTACAGAAATAGTTACCATTACAACATCTTGTGTGGATGCAATTATACCAGTGTAAAGGTGCTTTATACCCGTACAATTTATTGCCCTTCCCATAGGAGGAACGAGTATTACCATATAATTAAAGTGGCACCACTTGTGTGTGCAGACAAGGCTCAAATGTCTTTGGCTCATGGTTAGAGTCCTTCAAAGCCATGTATGAGTTCCATTTTAGGGAGCAGCATCTTCACAGTCCCTGAAGGGAGGCGAGTGGGACAAGAGACCATCTCTTTTGTGTTTGAAAGGAATCTACGTCCTCCTGGTGACGGCAATGCCGATACCTCCTTGATGAGTAGACATGGGTATATCATCTTCAGCAAGGAAGAGGGATTCCTCATTTTAAAAAAAAAGTCTTAAGTCATTGCCACCCTAACAGCTGCTAGGTCTGAGATGGAGAATGGCCTGTACAATGGCTATCTCAAGCCTGATTTTTTTTTCTCCAACAACGCTTGTCTCAGTGTCATACTGTGACTAGTCTTAGTCATTTTACCAAATTGTGAGACGTGCCCTTTGCTTTATCCTCTCTATGATGAGGACTCACGCAAGGCTTGGGCCAGGGCTTCTGAACATTGGTCATTACAAGTGTTCATGGCAGCAAACCAACATAAGTGGGTCTGAAGGGTTCTCTCAGGCTTTTAGAAAGGCCAGGATTATATGCACTAGCACAAGCTAACCATGGCCTGAACCATTAACACCAGGTCAAGTTGCCTAAAGGTGTAGAGAGGAGGGCATTGTCAATTGACAGAGGTAGTCCCTCTCCATGTGCACATCCATCCTGCAACTAGTAATACTACTAGGGACGCTGCACCAGATAACGGTAGGAACTCTGCACTCTCCCATTTGGCTCCTTTGTTGACCCAACATGCTTCTCCAAGTGCCAATGGCTCTGACTTGCGGTTTCAGCACGTTGGTGGGAAGGGAGTTTGGAGATGAAGGAAAACAGTGGGGGCACTTGCCCTTCTCAGAATCCCCTAAATCAGTGGTTCTTAACCTTTCCAGACTACTGTACCCCTTTCAGGAGTCTGATTTGTCTTACATAACCCCAAGTTTCAAAATCAGACATAAAAATACGAAAGTGTCACAGCCACACTGTTATTGAAAAATGGCTTGCGTTTTCATTATCAGAGGGGTAGCTGTGTTAGTCTGGATCTGTAAAAAGCAACAGAGAGTCCTGTGGCACCTTTGAGACTAACAGATGTATTGGAGCGTAAGCTTTCGTGGGTGAATGCTACATGCATGCGACCAAGTGGGCATTCATCCACGAAAGCTTATGCTCCAATACATCTGTTAGTCTTAAAGGTGCCACAGGACTCTCTGTTGCTTTTTGCTTTTTCATTTTTATCATATGATTATAAAATAAATCAATTGGAATATAAATATTGCACTTATAGTTCAGTGTATAGTATACTGAACTATATCAACA